AATTTCGTTCATTTTAACAAAAAGTTAAAATTCGGACAGAACTTATGGGATGACTTGATATATTCATTTTTATTCCATAGTTACCGAATTGTCCAAATTACCGAATTTTCCGGGTTGCCACTATAAACTATGTCCAGGATTATGCCAAGTACTGCAATAGTTGACTACGGTAGGTCAACACCTACCGTAGTCAAATATTGCGTAATGAAACCATTCTTGTAGAATCTGTGGTAGGACAAAGGTCGGTGTTTCAAATATTTTATATCTTAAATTGTCCGATCTTTTTCGTTTTTGAAAATTATATTGCGTATTCTCATTATTTAGCCATCACTTTTATCATAGATTGGATTTATAAAGTATATATATATATATATATATATATATATATATATATATATATATATATGCTTGCAGAGTTATTGAGGTATCACGTTTATACACAAACTCACAAAAATGTATACACATACACACATCACACTCCCAAAAAACTAAAAGATAACATAAACTTAACACACATATCCCATTTCCAGAAAGCAATAAAACTGTTAAAATGACCAAGGAGGGAATTCGGAAAGTCAGAAATCTCCCCTCCTCTATCTTAAAAACAACTTAAAAGAGGCCGTCTGACCAACACAAAGACTGACCAAAATTAACGATTAAAAAAAACAAATGAATACTACAGATAAAGTTCACTTTCTTCAGAGACAGTCATTCACTCCTGTAGTTCACTGCTACTAACCTGCAGGGATTCTTTTTCTCCTGATGATGGCCTCGCTGGCCGAAACTAGTCGAGGAACATATTTGAAATAATAAAACAAAAAATATTAATATACAAACAAGTGTGTCTGAAAATTTTAATTCTTTGATTTTTTTTTGTTCAATATATATATATATATATATATATATATATATATATATATACAGGTATGGAATAAGAAAAAATGGAGTATAATTCATTGTCTGTAGCATTTAATTTTTAAAAAAGGCCTCAATAATACAGAGTAGAGCTTAATATTATTTATTATTTGAGATTAAAACAAAAACATGTCAAAAATCGCTACAGAATGGCTTTCATATTTCAACACTTAAAATGTGCCTCCTCAGGCGATGATAAATAACTGGTGATCAAATAATTATTTTTACATTTGAAAAGTAGATAACAATTTGAGTGCTGAAACACGAAAAACTGAAGAAATTTTTAACATGTTTTTGATTTACTCTCATTTTATATATATATATATATATATATATATATATATTGATAACCTAACTGTCAGGGTTTCAATTCTCGGTAGTGGATGCGCAGTGCTGATGAGTCCCAAATATAGGACGAAACGGCTGTCCAGTGCTTTCTGCATTCTGTTGAGGTTTCTATCAGATTCGATGAATTGATTAATCATAATTATCAAATCCTCCTAATAATTTCTATCATTTGTATATCATTGCTTGAACCGGCTTCTAATGCTCAGGTTTGAGCGGTTTGGTGATAGTAGTCGTGGCTCCTGGGGGCAAAGTCCTATGGTTAGAGAGAATCTCAGTTGAGTTCCACAACGGAATATGTGAGCGAGCGGCGCTATATTGAGTCTGATTTGCAATCTCTTCGTCGTCACCGAGGCCCGGTGGAACAGTTGGTATGATGTTTGTTTGACAACCTAACTGGCAGAGTTTCAATTCTCGGTAGTGGATGCGCGCTGCTGATGACTCTCAAATTTAGGAGGAGGTTTCTTCAGACTCGATGAATCCTCCTATATATATATATATATATATATATATATATATATATATATATATATATATATATATATATATATATATATATATATATATATATATGCACAGTTATGGGATAAGAACAAATGAAGTATAATTCCATTGCCTGTAGCATTCATTTTTTTAAAGGCCTCAGTCATAGAGTAGAACTTAATATTATTTTTTAGGATATTAAAACAAAAACATGTTAAAAATCGATACATAATAACTTTTTATGTTTCAGCACTCAAAATGTGGTCCCTAGGCGACAGCAAATAACTGGACTCACTAGTTATTTAATTTTTAACGTTTTTGTTTTAATCTCATATAATATCTATCTATCTATCTATCTATCTATCTATCTATCTATCTATCTATCTATCTATGTCCGATAGTTTGAATTGGGATCATTCTTTTTTCAAAGATTACTAATAAAAAGTTTTAAGTTAATTTATTCTGTTTTCGTTTTACATTGACTGCATTTGTTGCGATTTTTGTATTTTATTTTTTTCATTTTCACTTTTCGTCTTTCACTTTCCCACGGCAATAAGCTAATTGTATTTTTTTTCTGGTGAAACTTTCTTTTATTTTATGCACTTGTGTTTTTGATTTATTTATTTTTCTCTCTGCTTTTCATTTTGTTGGAAGTGTTACCCGTATTTAAATCCCAGTTTTTAAAATTTTATTTTCCAGTTTAATTTTTATTTTACGCTAGACCTTCTTTGAAATTTATTCTTATTTTTCGGTTTATTTCGGCCATTTTGTTTTCTTGATAGGCAAAGCTTTTTCTTTTTTGCTACACGTGCGTTTAAGTTAATTTTTTCAGTCTTTTTTTAATATCTAGCATTATTTTTTATTTGTTTTATTTTACCCCTTCCATTTGGATTTGTTTTAAAGTAAATTTCTTTTATTTTTACTAGTTAATTTTTAAAAAAATTTCCTTCGTCTGTTGGTAAACCCAGTTTGTCTTTAAATCTTTTTTCATTGTTACTGTTTGTACGTCAAACTAGTTTTATTTTATTTTATTTATTCCCGCCCCCACCATTTTGTGGAAATACTTTAATTTGTATCTTAATTTTTTTCTTTAGTGTTTCTGCTTCTTACCTTTTTTGTTTGGTCAGTTTATTATTTTTAATTTCCTTGTTTTGCCTATAAGAAAATAAAACAGAAAAAAAAATTGATAGACGAGAGATTACTCTTTAGCATGTCTTTATACATGAGCCAGGGTTGTCCAATAATCCTTTGTCCATTGTGAAGCTGGCTATACATGAGGTTCTCACTCATCCTTGCGACATAAACAGCCCAGTGAAATTGTGACGTCATCAGCATAATCTCAGTTCCACCATCAATGTTTCATTTTGAGGTTAGATCAGCATTGGACAGTCTATCGACAAAAGTATAGCCACAGATCGTGCGGAGACAACTTTTGTGGAAGACAAAGCTGATTGATTTTTTAACGGATCGAATTTGCTATATATGAGTTTAATTTAATTTTTTCCAGTCGTCGTTGTTTTTAAAATATTTTGCATTTGATTTTGGTATTTTTCATTTGTTTTATTTAAAAGACACCCCAACATTTTTTTATTCTTTTATTTGTCTTTGAAGTAAATTTCTCTTATTTTTTTCTCGTTAAATTCTTTTGTAATTTCCTTCGTCTGTTGGGAAACCCAATTTTTGGTCTTAATTGAGTTTTTATTGTTACTGTTTTACGTTAAATTTATTTTATTTTATTTTTCCCCTACATTTTATGGAAATACTTTAAGCTGTGTCTTAATTTTTTTAATTTATTGTTTTTGTTTCTTTTATTTTTCGTTTGGTCAATTGTTTATCTTTTTTTTTAAATCCTTGTTTTGCCTTTAGGAAATAGACCAAAAAAGAACTCCCCCCCAAAAAAAACAAACAAAACAAAACAAAAATAAAAAAAAAACAAACGAAAAGGGCACAATATAACGAGTTCTTTCCTATTTTCTATATATTTTTACACACACACACACACACACACACACACACACACATATATATATATATATATACACACATACATACATGAAGGGGTATAGTTTTAAGGTGTGCTATATTTATGAGATAAAGTACTCAATATCAGAGATAACGCATATGTAAATATAAAATTGAACATTGAAGACAACACTCTGAGGCGACAGACTGTTTCATTCTCTCCCCTTGTCTCTCTTTTCTTTTTCTTCTGGGAAATGAGAATAATAATAATAATAATAGTAGTAGTAGTAGTAATAGTAGCTTTGGTGTTACTATAGTATGATATATACTGAGTTATTTGTGACTTACCGTAAATGACGATGCACTCATTATTGCTGGAAAATACACAGGAAAAACGATGACCTGTTTACTGTTTTTTAATGCCCCCCCCAACATGACACCCCCCCTCTACCTTCCCGTTTGTACTGACAAGATCCAAAGGGATATAGGGTATTACCTTTGCGGACGCCTTGGCTGCAGGAGTTGGCGGAAAGTTGTCAGTGTTGACATCCACCCGCCTTCGGGGGCTCCACCATTTTTTTTTCAACTGCAATTGACAACGCTACTTTACTGTGATGAGGGATGTAAAAAAGAAAAACTTCAAGGGTAGAGCCTGCTTCACCTCCACTTCAGTCCATCTTGTGCCTTGTGTCTTTAGTTATGCAGATGAATTTCTTGTACTGCATCCATAAAGGCGAGTCTAGCACCTCTGATGTCTGTGTGACAGTATTCACGAAGTCTGGGCAACTAACTGACGTCTTTGGCGTATATGTACGTGCCTGGACAACCGACTTTGAATCGACGTTGTGTCATATCTTTCCACCGTGGGCGGCGAAAGTAAATACAAGTGATAAAAACGCAATGTTACTCCCGACACTAGCTACTTTATTGACGTTCCCGTTACAAAAGAACTATTATTGAGGGAGGATAACAAAGGAAGTAGCAGCCGCGACAATTTTACGGGAATTTTTAAAGTTCAGAGAAAATATCAGAAACGGAGTATATTACATGGTTCTAGGGTTTAAAACGTGCAATGTTCCTTTAGGACGTTGGCGATCATGACTCTTCATAATTTCCTGACCTTCGTAGCTCTTAGTAAATTTTATCTTTTCGCTAACCTCTGCTAATTCCTGTTCGGCGAATCATCTACACAAGGTCACAATCGTCGAGGTTGCCTATAAAGCAAAAGCATTAAAAAAAAGGAAGAAAAAAAATAGAAAAAACACAAGAAAACGCTGAGCAGTATATCCACCCTGATGGCTCAAAAGGACCCGCTCAGCACTTTCAAAGCAGTAGGTAGGCAGTTCACAGTTCTCTACCTCTTTGCCGTTTTCTCTACACTCTTTTTCTTGTCTTTCTCCTTGTCTCTCTCAGCATTTCACTCCACCCTCTTTTTCATTCTCTCTACTTGTCTCACTCTCTTTTTCTCTACTCCCCCCGGCTTTTTCCTTCACTCTCTATCCATCTTTGCTTTGTCTCTCCGCCTCTTTTCCGTTTTCTCTACTTTTTCATTCTCTCTACTTGTCTCACACTCTTTTTCTCTACTCCCCCCGGCCTTTTCCTTCACTCTCTATCCATCTTTCCTTCGTCTCTCTGCCTCTTTTTCCTTTTTCTCTACTTTTTCATTCTCTCTACTTGTCTCTCTCGCTTTTTCTCTACTCCCTCTGTCTTTTTCTTTCACTCTCTATCCATCTTTCCTTCGTCTCTCTGCCTCTTTTCCTTTCTCTCTACTTTTTCATTCTCTCTACTTGTCTCTCTCGCTTTTTCTCTACTCCCCCCCGGCTTTTTCCTTCACTCTCTATCCATCTTTGCTTCGTCTCTCCGCCTCTTTTCCTTTTTCTCTACTTTTTCATTCTCTCTACTTGTCGCACTCTCTTTTTCTCTACTACCTCCGTCTTTTCCCTTCACTCTCTATCCATCTTTCCTTTGTCCCTCTGCCTCTTTTCCTTTTTCTCTACTTTTTCATTCTCTCTACTTGGCTGTCTCTCTTTTTCTCTACTTCCTCTGTCTTTTTCCTTCACTCTCTATCCAGTTTTGCTTCGTCCCTCTGTCTCTTTTCCTTTTTCTCTACTTTTTCATTCTCTCTACTTGTCTCTCTTTCTTTTTCTCTACTCCCCCCGGCTTTTTCCTTCACTCTCTATCCATCTTTGCTTCGTCTCTCCGCCTCTTTTCCTTTCTCTCTACTTTTTCATTCTCTCTACTTGTCTCACTCTCTTTTTCTCTACCCCCTCTGTCTTTTTCCTTTACTCTCTGTCCATCTTTGCTTCGTCTCTCCGCCTCTTTTCCTTTCTCTCTACTTTTTCATTCTCTCTACTTGTCGCACTCTCTTTTTCTCTACTCCCTCCGTCTTTTTCCTACACTCTCTATCCATCTTTGCTTCGTCTCTCTGCCTCTTTTCCTTTTTCTCTACTTTTTCATTCTCTCTACTTGTCTGTCTCTCTTTTTCTCTACTTCCTCTGTCTTTTTCCTTCACTCTCTATCCATTTTCGCTTCGTCCCTCTGCCTCTTTTTCTTTTTCTCTACTTTTTCATTCTCACTACTTGTCTCTCTCACTTTTTCTCTACACCCCCCGGCTTTTTCCTTCACACTCTATCCATCTTTGCTTCATCTCTCTGCCTCTTTTCCTTTTTCTCTACTTGTTCATTCTCTCTACTTGTCGCACTCTCTTTTTCTCTACTCCCCCCGTCTTTTTCCTTCACTCTCTATCCATCTTTGCTTCGTCTCTCTGCCTCTTTTCCTTTTTCTCTACTTTTTCATTCTCTCTACTTGTCTCTCTCTCTTTTTTTCTACTCCCCCCGTCTTTTCCCTTCACTCTCTGTCCATCTTTCCTTCGTCCCTCTGCCTCTTTTCCTTTTTCTCTACTTTTTCATTCTCTCTACTTGTCTCACTCTCTATTTCTCTACTCCCCCCGGCTTTTTCCTTCACACTCTATCCATCTTTGCTTCGTCTCTCTGCCTCTTTTCCTTTTTCTCTACTTTTTCATTCTCTCTACTTGTCGCACTCTCTTTTTCGCTACTCCCCCCGTCTTTTTCCTTCACTCTCTATCCATCTTTGCTTCGTCTCTCTGCCTCTTTTCCTTTTTCTCTACTTTTTCATTCTCTCTACTTGTCGCACTCTCTTTTTCGCTCTCCCCTGTCTTTTTTCCTTCACTCTCTATCCATCTTTGCTTTGTCTCTCCGCCTCTTTTCCCTTTTTCTCTACTTTTTCATTTCTCTACTTGTCTCTCTCTTTTTTCTAATCCCCCCGTCTTTTCCCTTCACTCTCTATCCATCTTTCCTTCGTCCCTCTGCCTCTTTTCCTTTTTCTCTACTTTTTCATTCTCTCTACTTGTCTGTCTCTCTTTTTCTCTACTTTCTCTGTCTTTTTCCTTCACTCTCTATCCATTTTTGCTTCGTCCCTCTGCATCTTTTCCTTTTTCTCTACTTTTTCATTCTCTCTACTTGTCTCTCTCTCTTTTTCTCTACTCCCCCCGGCTTTTTCCTTCACTCTCTATCCATCTTTGCTTCGTCTCTCTGCCTCTTTTCCTTTTTCTCTACTTTTTCATTCTCTCTACTTGTCTGTCTCTCTTTTTCTCTACTTCCTATGTCTTTTTCCTTCACTCTCTATCCATTTTTGCTTCGTCCCTCTGCCTCTTTTCCATTTTCTCTACTTTTTCATTCTCTCTACTTGTCTCTCTCTCTTTTTCTCTACTCCCCCCGGCTTTTTCCTACACTCTCTATCCATCTTGGCTTCTGCCTCTTTTCTCTCTGCCTCTACTTTTCCTCTCTTTTTTTCTCTGTACTTTTTTTCATTCTCCATCTTTACTTGTCTCTCATTTTTTTTTTCTCTCTACTTGTCTCTCTCCCCCGGCGTTTTTCCCTTCACTCTCTGTCCATCTATCCATCTTTTTTTTTTTTTTTCTACTTTTTCTCTCCTTGTCTGTCTCATTTTTTTTTCTCTGTCTTTTTTCATTCTCTATCCATTTTTACTTGACTCTCTCTCTTTTCCTTTTTCTACTTTTTCATTCTCTCTACTTGTCTTTTTTACTCCCCCCCGGCTTTTTCCTTCTCTCTCTATCCATCTTTCCTTCGTCCTCTCCTCTTTTGCCTCTTTTTCATTCATTCTCTACTTGTTTCCTTTTTTCTCTCCCCCTGTCATTTTTTTCATTCTATCCATCTTTGCTTCGCTCTACTTGTTTTTGTCTCTCTTTTTTCATTTCTCTACTTGTCTCTGTCTTTTTTTTTTCCTGTCTTTTTCTTTCACTCTCTATCCATTTTGCTTCGACTCTCTGCCTCTTTTCCTTTTTCTCTACTTTTTCATTCTCTCTACTTGTCCTCTCTCTTTTTCTCTACTCCCCCGGCTTTTTTTCCTTCACTCTCTTCCATCTTTGCTTCTATCCATCTTTTCTTCGTCTCTGCCTCTTTTCTCTCTTTTTTTCTTTTTCCTTTTTCTTCCTCTCTCTACTTTCCTTTTTCTCTCTTTGTTTTTCTCTACTTGTCTCCCCTTTCTTTTCCCTTCTTTTTTCCTTCACTCTCTATCCATCTTATCCATCTTTGCTTCTCCTTTGTCTCTTTTTTTCATTGCCTCTACTTGTTCCTTTTCTCTTTTTCATTCTCTTCGTCTCTTGTCTCTCTCCTTTTCTCTACTTTTTCCCCATTCTTTTTCCTTTCTCTTTTTTTCTCCGTCTTTTCCATCCATCCATCTTTGCTTCGTCTCTCTGCCTCTTTTCCTTTTTCTCTACTTTTTCATTCTCTCTACTTGTCTCTCTCTCTTTTTCTCTACTCCCCCCGTCTTTTTCCTTCACTCTCTATCCATCTTTTCTTCGTCTCTCTGCCCTTTTTCTTTTCCTACTTTTTTTTCTCTACTTGTCTGTCTCTGTTTTTTTCATTTCTCTATCCATCTTACTTGTCTCTGCCTCTTTTCCTTTTTTTCTCTTTTTACTCCCCTTGTCTTTTTTCTTCACTCTCTATCCATCTTTCCCTTTCTTGTCTCTGCCTTTTCCTTTTTTCCTTTTTCATTCTACTTTTCATTCTCTCTGTCTTTGTCTCTCTATCCTTTTCTACTCCCCTGTCTTTTCCCTTCATTCTCTCTATCCATCTTTCCTTCGTCTCTCTGCCTCTTTTCCCTTTTTTTTTTCTCTTTTTCATTCTCTCTACTTGTCTTTTCCTTCGTCTCTCTGCCTCTTTTTTTTTCTCTTTTTTTTCATTCTCTGTCTTTCTCTTTCCTTCTATCCATCCCTTCGTCTTTTCCCTTTTTCTCTATCCATCTTTCCTTCGTCCCTCTGCCTCTTTTCCTTTTTTTTCTACTTTTTCATTCTCTCTACTTGTCTCTCTCTTTTTTTCTCTACTCCCCCCGTCTTTTCCCTTCACTCTCTATCCATCTTTCCTTCGTCTCTCTGCCTCTTTTCCTTTTTCTCTACTTTTTCATTCTCTCTACTTGTCTCTCTCTCTTTTTCTCTACTCCCCCCGTCTTTTCCCTTCACTCTCTATCCATCTTTCCTTCGTCTCTCTGCCTCTTTTCCTTTTTCTCTACTTTTTCATTCTCTCTACTTGTCTCTCTCTCTTTTTCTCTACTCCCCCCGTCTTTTTTCCCTTCACTCTCTATCCATCTTTCCTTCGTCTCTCTGCCTCTTTTTCCTTTTTTCTACTTTTTTTCATTCTCTCTACTTGTCTCTCTCTTTTCTCTACTCCCCCCGTCTTTTCCCTTCACTCTCTATCCATCTTTCCTTCGTCTCTCTGCCTCTTTTCCTTTTTCTCTACTCTCGTTTTTCGTTCTCTCTTTCCTTGTCTCTCTCTTTTATCATTATCCTTTCCCCTCTTTCTACTCGTAGCGAATTCACTCATATTCTCTCTTTACCCCTCTATACTTTTCCCTTTCTCTCTCGTTATAATTCATCTATTTTCTCCCTCTATTTTCTCCCTCTGTTTTCTTCCCGTTTCTCTTCCTACTCTCTTTCTTTTACCTCTCTCTCTCTCTCGCTCTCTTCTTTCCCCATCCCATCACTGTCTGTTCTTTCTTTTGTCTCTCCCTCATCCTTTCTTTCCATATTTCTCTTCATACCAATGTGTTTGGTATTCCAGTTTGTTTACCGTTTCCACTTTGTCTACACAAGTCCTTTGTTATTCTTACGTCACAGGGTCAATTTCGTTTGGAAAATCCGGTCACATAAGTGTAAAACCTTTCCTCGTCCCCCTTAACAAGAATGTCCCTCCTGTACAGGTTTTAATTTTCTGACCTTCTGATTATGAACCCACCTCTTTCACCTGTTCGTCTCAAATCGTCATACTTGCGCCCCCGTGTTGCCTCGTCTACATCGATCTCCTCGGCAAAAATGACCTCCTACGTCTATTTACAGAAGGAGGGTAAGGAAGAGAACATATTAGTGGGTGCGTCGATTGCACTTAATCGGAAGCCGGCCGTGTCAGCACCCTCTCCGAGGTATATAAAACAACAGAAATAGGGGTAGTTAATATTTATCACCCTACGAGGACAAATATGACTAAAATTCTTTGCTCCAAGTCTCCGCCTACATACGATTTGGCATTTTTTTTGTCATTGGATCTAGCGATGGGATGGAGCACAAAGTCGATTTGATTCATGCATTTTCCAAGAGCGTTAGGGCTAAAAGAAAATAAACGTGTGTGTGTGTGTGTGTGTGTGTGCGCGTGTGTGTGTGTGTGCGTGTATGTTAATGACAGTGCGAAGATCATCTTGAATAAGTTGGAAAATGATCCTGGGATATATATATATATATATATATATATATATATATATATATATATATGTGTGTGTGTGTGTGTGAAAAGTGTATATAAATATAAATAAATATACATATGTATAATTATTTATATATTATATGCGCGGTACTTATTAGAAAGCGCTCAATATCAGAGATAGAGCTAACATATTTGGTTGGATAGATGTGAGTTTGTGACCCTGGGTTTCACGCTTTAGCGATCGTCAGACAAATCCAGGGTCACAAACTCACATCTATCCAACAAAATATATATATATAAATTCATGAATAATTCATACAAAAAACAAATATAGAGGTTTGTTTTTTGTATGAATGATTCATGAATTTATAAATTATAATTGCACCTATAATTGAAATATATATATATATATATATATATATATATATATATGAACTTTATTTACATTCTTCATGAGTTTCCGATCCTTAGCTATGATTAATTAATGATGAACATGTCATTTTCATTTAGGATTGATTCCATCATGATTCTTCTGTTAAACTTGGAGATTAATTATACATTCTTATTGCTCAAAGTAGAGTTCAATAGTGTTATAAAAACCTCGCAGTATTCCAGTCAGATATCTTTAATCATTTCTAAGAATCAACGACTCTAATCTTAATCTAACAATTGGTCAATTTTGCTGTTCCATCGGGTATATAAGGTATACTTAGGCAGTATATTTTATTAAATCCAGCCCTTAGAGTCTGTCTGTTTAGTGTTTATTTAATTTGTTTAATTTTTCCATGTTGTTGCATAACAGGATCAAAAATGTGGATAATCTGTCCGAAGTTCATGTTTGTTCTGTTTTTTGTTTTTTTCGTTCAAATACTTTTTAGCGGAACCTAATCTACCAAACTGACAGCATGACAGATATATGTTATTCGTGTGATATGATGGTGAGAAGCTGGGAATGAGAAATCGAATTGCAGATTTCGAATTCAAGTCAAGTTCATTACATTCATTTTCCCGCGAATACTTCCCGGGAAAAATATGAATCCATCTCTTTGCCAATTCTCCCACCTCTTGAAACAGTTCGATTACAGAAACCCCACGAAACACCAATATCTCTCTTTCTCTCTCTCTCTTTATCTATCTATCTATCTATCTATCTATCTATCTATCTATCTATCTATCTATCTATCTCATAGTGTTCATTATCTATCTATCTATCTATCTATCTATCTATCTCAGTGTTCATATCTATCTATCTATCTATCTATCTATCTATCTATCTTAGTGTTCATATCTATCTATCTATCTATCTATCCATCCATCTATCTCAGTGTTCATATCCATCTATCTATCTATCTATCCATCCATCTATCTATCTCAGTGTTCATATCCATCCATCTATCTCATAGTGTTCACATCCATCCATCTATCCATCCATCCATCTATCCATCCATCCATCCATCTATCTATCTCAGTGTTCACATCTATCCATCCATCTATCTATCTCATAGTGTTCACATATCTATCTATCTATCTATCCATCCATCTATCCATCCATCTATCTCAGTGTTCATATCCATCTATCTATCTATCTATCTATCCCATAGTGTTCATATCTATCTATCTATCCATCTATCTATCCATCTATCTATCCATCTATCTATTCATATAGTATTCATCTATCTATCTATCTATCTATCTATCTATCTATCTATCTATCTATCTCATAGTATCCATCATATCTATCTATCTATCTATCTATCTATCTATCTATCTATCTATCTCATAGTGTTCATATCTATCTATCTATCTATCTATCTATCTATCTATCTATCTATCTATCTATCTCATAGTGTTCATATCTATCTATCTATCTATCTATCTATCTATCTATCTATCTATCTCATAGTGTTCATATCTATCTATCTATCTATCTATCTATCTATCTATCTATCTATCTATCTATCTATCTATCTAATTCTGTTGATTATCTATCAATCTATCTTTTTTGGTTTCTACCTTTCTTGCTTTTTCTTTTTCTTTCTGTCTATGTCTTTCTTTCTTCATGTCTGTCTGTTTGTCTGTCTGTCTGTATCTATCTATCTAAGTCTATTCTTTATTTATCTAGCTATCAGTCTGTTTATTATCTATCTAGCTATCTACAAGGCGATAATTCCACTAAGACTCAGGGATGGGAAGTTACAGAGAGTGAAAGAAAATGAGAAAACTTAATTGAAGATAAAGGACAATAAAAGAACAGGATTCAGGAAGATAGAAGATGGCGACTGACTTTGCATTTACATTTATAAAGATCCTTGATGGCCGGAAAGCAATAAACCGGAAGGGAGTTCCAAATGTGAGTAGTGCGAGAAAAGAAACTATTAGAATAGAACTTATGGTTACAACTATTTCAACAATAAAACGATGAGACCTAATAGCCAATCTAGCAGTAGGTTTAAATTGATACGTTCGAGACACCGAGGAGAATGTTTCATAAGTTTACCGAAGAAAAGAAAGATTGTATTTCACTTCTTTGTCAAAGGCATGCAATCCATTAAGACCTGACCCATCACAAGACATCCTGACGAAATATCGTTGCTGATATGTCATAATCATCGATGGTGTAAAATACATGAGTAAACATTTTAGTAGGATATAGTCCTATATTTTTAATACCTTTCTTTTGTGATGTTGTACGACTTCGCTTTCACATTTGTTACATCAAGCGAAAGCTCGTAATCACTTCCAAAAATTCTTGTTGTAGTCGAGACTTCATAGACGCCGGAAGTACTAGTAGTAACGCCTTCCAATAATATCCGCACTAGTAATACTTGGTCAAGTAGTAATTGCCAAATCTTATAATGATCAGAAGAGAATCGTAATCAGTATAGTAATAGAGAGAGTAATTGCATAGCAATAATGGATATATAAGAAGAATGAACAGGGAACCGTATAGTTGATAAAGGGGAAATAGTGAACAGTTACTCATCACGTCACATACTATTTATTCATTTCCTTTATGATCACGTGATCTACTTAATAATGGAATCGCCTGTGTTACTCACTGGTGATCTAGTTTCAAACAACACTGTTGGCAACGACACTTACTCTTTCTTATAAAACACATTATTTTAAACATTTCATCTCAAGCAAAGTAATAAAGCCACTAAGACGCAACGGGCTATTGAGTATAAGAGAATATTAGAAAAAGCCCTACCAAGCAGAGAGAACAATAAAAGAACGGTAATTCAGAAGACAGAAGATAACGATTGATATTGCATTTAAATTTTTGATGATCAAAGCTGGACGCAAAGCATGGAACCGGTGAGTAGTGCGAGAAAAGATACTATTAGAATAGAGTTCCAGAAGCGAGAAATGCAATAGAAGAAACTGTCAGCATAGAACTTACGGTTACATTTTAACTGTAAAATGGTGAAACCTTGCCGACAATTTAGTACTGCTCTTAAATTCATAAAGTCTAGGCGCTATAGAGGAATGTTCATCAGAACATGAAAATATTTATCGAAAATAGGCACAGACACTACGTTACGGCGGTGGTGGGAAAGTGACCGAAGCCGAGATGCCAGACCAGCACCATTAAAAGTGCAGATTCTTCCTTGTAACTTCATTAAGATTCTCTAAATATATAGCAGAAGCGCCAAACCAGATATGACAGCAATATTGAGTGCATTGACAAATGGCCGGTTTATAAATGTGTAAGAAAGAAAAAAAACAAACATTCGAAGTAGCAGAGCTAGTAACTGATTCAATATAATCTTTCCACTTCATGTCCGCGGAAAACGTTAGCCTGAGTTGGCGCAATGAGTCACACTCCTGGAGGTTAGCATCAGCCATGTTGATAGAAATTAAAAAGGATTCTCTCAGCCGATTAAAGGTGCGTTACAATTAAGAGACCATTTCTTGCCCCATTAAACAACAGATGGAAGGTCAGTTTTTAAACCAACTGCCAATTAGACCCTCTCAAACTGATTATACTTACTAACAAGAGAGCAGTAAATAAATTGTATTATCAGTACAAATACCGATTTGAAAACTGCTGACATCAGGAGGATCGCTGATGCAAATTAGAAACAACGTACTTCCATGGATAATATCCTGGCGAATACGATCTTTTCGCAAGTGTCGTTTGATTTTCTTTCTTTTTGGCTCCCACGTCCTTCCCTGGATTTTGCATGTCCTTTTCTTTTTCCGTGAACGTTCCTGAAAGGTTTTACGTTATCGTGAAATGTCTTTCGTCGGCGGAGTGCTTAAGAATGCCGAAATCTTTCTGCCCTTTGATCTGCTGGCGTCTTTCACATGAGGAAGCCTAAAACGTTTCGGCAACCATCAGCTTTGGCCCTTCTCTGTGACGTATAGTTCTATTTATCGCAGCCGACAGGCTACGCCCCTTTCGTGTGACGTCTTACCACCTTCTGCCCGTTCATCCACTGACCAGTCTTAAATATCCGCGGGAGTAGATCAAACGAGGGTAAATTTGCTTTTTAAGCCCCGCGCTAAATATCTATTGAAATTTTCCAAAATCGTCATATTTCCGTGTAAATATACATGCCGAACTCGAATTAACAATTAAATTATGAAAAAAACCTACCGTTTTGGAGTTATCGACAAGAAAAAAAATCAAACCTCTTGTTGGTCATTCGTCTGCCATTATTGCCATCATTTTTAGTAATTCACTGCGGGGTACTTCCGTTGGCGTAAGCAGAAATTTTGGCCTATTTACTTCTTTTACAGACTTTCGGTGCAGAAATCACTACGCACTACCGTAAAGCAATGTATTTTTTTTTATATAAGTGTAATTTTATTTATAACAAATGGAAATTAAATAATACAATAGAACCTTTTTTACGTGTAGAATAGCAATGAGAAATTAAAAGAACAAATTAAATAATACATTAAAGATTGTTTTAAAAAATTAAAATTAAAACAAACCAAATTTACACTAATTACTCCTAACCCCAAACCTAACCCTAGCCTAGGGTTGGGGTCAGCCTAACCCCCAGGTTAGGGTTAGTTTTGAGTTAGGGTTTAGTAACCCTGACCCCTAAGCTCAACCCTAACCCTAATTACTGTTTATTTTATTTTTAATTAAAAAAATGCTTTATTTTATTATTTATTTTGTTCTTTTTTAATTTGTCATTGCTATTCTACACAGAAAAAATGTTTTATTGTATTATTTAATTTGTTTTCGTTTAACGTTTTATGTTATAAATAATACTACACTTATAAAAAAAATGCTTTACAACAGTGCGTAGTGATTTCAACGTTAAATTCAGTTAAAGAAGTAAATAGGCCAAAATTTATGCTTGCGAGACCGGAAGTGCTACGGACAAAATTACTACAAACAGTGGCCGTAATGGCGGACGAACGACTGAGAGAGAGTCCGATTTTTCTTGTGGATAACTCCTAAGCGGTAGGTTTTATCATAATTTAATTGTTAATTCGATTTCAGCATGTACATTTACACGGAAATAAGACAATTTGGGAAAATTTTAATAGATATTTAGCGCGGGGCTTAAAAAGCAAATTTACCCAAACGTGCTTTAACTTTCAAATTAAGAGGACATAAACCACTCAATTCATTGGACAAAATTACGTGGGTAATATATATTTTCTAAATTTGAAAAAAAGAATCTACAACAGATACGTTTGAAGTATAGAGTTGAAGAATTCACCAGTCCTTTTATAAGCCAGTCCTTTTATAAGCCAATTCTAAATAAAAAAAAAAGAAAAAGAAAAAACTTTTATATACAACATGAAACACTTTTTAATAAGATGTCTGGCTTTCTTTTAATATTCTTTTCCCAAAAGTAAGTGTATAAGACAAACTCAACCTATTTAACTCTCCTGGGTATGACGATAAACTACATCCAGCAGCAAGGCCTCTGATCGGGAGGTTTTGAAGACCGTTGAACAACCTCTTAATTGCTGTTGTTCCCAAGTCCACTCTGACCCGGGATGGCAGGACTTGTTAGGGTCCCAGCTATGATAAAATAATTGACCCCTAAACTGAGGTCAAAACGCTATGAAAGCGTTAACGTTGTTATATTAAAAATACCAGTTTTAAATTTACGAGGTCATAAGCAACCATTTTCATTGGACAAAAATACTAGGGTAATATATTTTTTTTTCTGAATTTGAAAAAGGAATCTCCAACAGTCCACCATGACAGTTACTTCTGGCGGTCTTTTATAAAGTCAGTTCTAAATTAAAAAAAAAAAAGTTACTCTCCAAATAAAACACTTTTAATAAATTGTCTCCCAAAAAATAAGTGTAGAAGACAAACTCAAGAATATTTGACATTTATTTAGTCACACTTTATTTTTTCTTTTTAATTCTTATTTTTAATTATTTTATAATATTAACTGATGAAAAACATTCATATCGGAAACCAAATTCTTGTTTAGGATTTGCCTTCTGGTTCCTTCTAAAGTCTACTTCAAGTTCATACATCTAACGCCTGAACTCTAATTACATTTCTTTTTATTATATTTTATTTTGTTCCTCCTCAATAGAAGTAAATAGGTTCGCCTATCGCCCGGTTTACACTCCTCTCTGTCATTTTGACCAGGATTAGAGGTTTTTCCCTTGTTTCCTATTTAGGGTGGGGTTTTCTTCTTAATTCTTCAACTCTATACTTCAAACGTATCGGTTTGAATTATGAAATTTTATTCCCTAATTATTTTTTCCTTCTCCCCCAACGGGGGGGTAGGGTTAGGGTTAGGGTAGATAGGTTCGACTCTCATCCGACTCACATTGCTCCCTAGTCTTTTGAAAAAGGAGTAGAGGTTCATCCCTTGTTTCCTGTTTAGGATTGAGTTTCGGGTTACTTCTAAATTCTACTTCAACATTATACATCTATCGCCTGAACTCTGAACTCTGAAATTTTATTTACTAATTATTTTTTCATTTTTTTTATTATAATTTATTTTATTCCACCTCAACAGGAGTAGATAGGTTTGTCTATCGCCCGGTTCACCTTCCTCCCCGGTATTTTGAACAGTAGCAGAGGTTTATCCTTAGTTTCCCACTCAGAATTGGGTTTCCATTTCCTTCTAAATTCTACTTCAACTCTATACTTCTAACATTTCCGCCTAAAACCTTGCAATTTTATTTACTATTTATTTACATTTTTCCCCAATAGGAGTAGATAGGTTCGCCTATATCCAGTTCACTCTCGTTCCTGGTCTTTTGGACTAGGTTTCTGATTACTTCTGGAGTCTAGTTCAACTCTATACTTTTAATATTCCTGTCTGAACTCGGAAATTCGATTTAGTAATTACTAGCAGTACAGCCCGGCGTTGCCCGGGGATGTAACAGTAAGAGATAGATCAAGTATCCACCATCATAAAGACTGAAAAATAAAATTGACAAAGATTATTATTTAAGGTAGACGGACACGCATGTCTTAATTAGTTTTTTTTGTTTTTTTTACGAATTGGTCAAACCCAAACTCAAACAAAAACATTGTTTTCAATCGTTATGAGTCTATCGATTGAATAGAATTTTATTATAAACAATTGTCTTGTAAATGGAATTTTTAAAGCATTCTGAATGTAAAAATAAAGAAAAAAGTGTGCAAAACAATAAGAAACACTACCTGCCAAAAAAAAAGTGAAGTTTTTTTTAAATCGGTTGAAAAATGTGGGAAATCCGATCCCATATATAAACGAACACACACACGCACACACAAACAAGCAACCTGGGTTTTATAATAAGTATAACTCGATATGAGTTGTCCCCCTTTCATTCTGGCGACAGTGATGCCTCTTAATCGTGTTTTCAAATTGATTTCGTGCAAAAACAATTGTATTTTTCCAATTTTTGGCGCTGTCAGAACCACCGCAAGGTAATTTTACGTAGTCCTGTGAAGTTTTGTTGAAATCGGTTGAAAAATGTAAGACATCCGATCCAATATATAAACGAACAGACACATACACACACAGAACCTGGGTTTTATAATAAGTATGATTTTTTTTCTTCCCCAATAGATATGTAGATGTGTTCGCTCGGTTCACACTCCTCACCGGTCTTTTGAACAAGTGTAGAATTTTATCCCTTGTTTACTGTTTAGAATTGAGTTTCCGATTACTTCTGAACTCTTTTAATTCTCTTTCAGTCCCAGTAGCCCCATGCGTCTTAGTGGCATTATCGCCTTCCTTGGGGGTGAATATATGAAAATAAATAAATAAATATTAATAACATTATAAATTTTCCGTGTAACTATTATCTTAAATATATTAGAAAAAAGTCATATGCCATCAACCTTGCACATCTCCAATCCTCTTTGCTTGTATCTTAAAATTTAGTGCCAAGAGTATGTGGACTTATATGCAGGTCACTGGTGTCACATACGACACAAACATAAAAACTGAATGGGGTTGTTGGATCCTCATACGTCGAAATTGACTGGAGAGAGTTCATCCCCCCCCACACACATATATATATATATATATATATATATATATATATATATATCATTTCAACTTTTGGAAGTAAAGTCTGATGATCCAGAGCCCTGTAAAAGTGTTGTGGTGAAATAACTTATTACATGGAACTTTAAAGTGATCTGTTTTTATTCAATATATATATATATATATATATATATATATATATATATATATTGTATATTTAGGCAGCAATCCTTCCTTTATGCATGTTTCATTAAAAACGACAGACAGGTACTACGGTTGAGCTTTTATTTAATTTTCTTGTGTTCTGACAAGTATTTCTTTTCTAACAAACATCCTTTTAGCCATTATCATGATGACACACTTAAGACATACACTGTATATGTCTTAGTGTAACATCCCTACCACGATTTTAAGACATACACAGAACGATAATCGAATCATCCTTGATAATGGCTAAAGGTATAGCCGAAAGCGCTCGGAAATATAAAACATTCGGACAGTTCTTACACACCCTTTGTCCAGAAAAGAAAGCTCTTGTCAGAACACAAGAAAAATTAAATAAAAAGCTCAACTGTATTACTTTTGTCTGTCGTTTTAATGAAACATGCATATATATATATATATATATATATATATATATATATATATATATATATATATATATATAATGAAGGTAATGGTTAGAGTTGAATTAGACCAGGGAACAGTAGTATTAAAAAAGTGCTCAATGCACATATAAAAAGATAAAAATTTAACATGTAGAGCTTTTAAGTATAGAAAATTAAGAAATCAGCCGATTCCGCCACTTTGATTTCAACAGAATTCTTGATACCTAGATTGCCGTGTAGAATTTTGAGAATGCCTGGAGACTTTTGGTAATCAAAGACAAAATAATTTCCCAGGAATGTTCTAATAGACGAAATCTCATAATAAGAGTCTAAGATTGCCAACATCTGTAGATTTTGTCATAACAGCTGTTTGGTCTTGAAACGGTAAGTTTTGTGTGTGGGTTCTAGCCTTACGATTTATT